GTCACAATCTCATTTTCAGCAGCAGAGCTAATCAGGCGGAACAGTGACATTAATTTGGAAGCAAGGTCATCCACATCAATACTTGCACCAAACGTTTTCTTTTCTGTAATGTGTTTAAGTGTATCGGACATTTTAAACAATAGAGATAATAAAACAACAACATATTAAGTGGTTCAGGTTTGAATTCCGACCTGCTGCTCCTTTCCTGCATGTCATTCCCGACTCTCTCTCCCCGATGTCCTACTCTATCCACTGTCCTATCAGATACAGCCTTAAATTTCTAAAGTAAATCATCAAAAGAATAAAAAGATGAGTTGGTGCCAGCCTTTTGTGATTCAAGTCAGTATTTTATAAAGACTAAACTGCAGCCATCCTAACTAGTCCAACCTCTCTTCTGTCCTGTTTCTTCTTTTACCCTCGTTGTTAGAAGAGAGAGAGAGGTAAAGTCAGGCTCAGTGACACCTCGGCGACAAGAGCCACAACCAAAATTTACGATGCTCATTACTGAGGTATTCCTGAGCACTTCTTGCACCTTCGTGGTTTTTTTTGTAGTCCAACTTTAATAATTGCAGGACATGCAGATTAATTTACCTAATGGACTTTTAGGTCACAATAACTTCTTACATTAAGGTTTGAAACCATAAACTTATAGGAAGAATCTGCATTATTTAAACATCAATACAGCAGAAATCAAGTATATATCCAATGTAGCTGTCCCTCTGAATCACAGCTGTTGACAATGAGTGAGAAGTGCGAGTCCAGCTGACTGTGTTGTTGTCAGAGCTGTGTTTACATCATGTTAAAATGGACGGGACGGTCGGCTCCTCTCGTGTAGAAAAGCTGTTTTAGTCAAGGACCAGAGAAATGAAGAGTAACGTACTCACTGCTTATATGGAAGTCACATAGGTGTTTTAAGATCAGCGTCATTCCATTGCAATTTATATGCAATGTTCAGATTCAGATTCAAATGACTTTATTAATCCCAGAAGAGCAATTCAGTTTCATGTGAAGCAAGCTAACTCAAGTGTGCTAACATTAGCGCTAAACTCCTTCGCGCTAACTCAAGTGAAAGAGGGTTTGAGGTGTGTCTCTGGAAGAGAACAGAGGCGTCAGGGGGTGCTGCCATAATTTAAATTATTTGGCAATTGAGGATAACATAATGGTGCTGTTATTGCAGTGCACAAGTTTTAAGCGTGTAACTTTTTAATTTTTTCCAGCAAAGTAAACTCATATTGACACTCATTTAGTTTCACTTCCATTTGAGATTTCATTATTGATATTTGTGTATTAACACTGTAACTCCTTGAATGATTGACACCCGCACTGTCTGTAGATTTTAGATACATGCTGTCATTGCGGGTTCCTCATGTGTCTGTGAATTGATGGCCTGTCAGGTGGAGGCTTGAGAGTCGAGACATCACTTTAATTAAATGAGCTGTCAAGTGTGTTGTATAGAATACATTCACATCACATCATCAAGTTAGTTCACTTTGGAAGTGTAATGTTTAAGCTTTTTTTAGAAATATGTTTGAAAATGTGTGGGTTTTTATTTTAAACCCAGTCCAGAGAAAGACACCTGATTCAATTAAAATAACTGAATTATCAGATGGAAATAATCCCTTTCTGTCTCATCCAAAAGATCTGTCAGGGGGGAGGGGTGGAGGAGGAATGGGTGAGAAAGAAGGTGTAGATAGTACTTAAAGTAATTAGAGCAAGGGAGCAATAAACAGAGACATGCAGTGAGTGACAAATGGAAGGGGAAATGGATGGTTCATACAATCACTCAAACTGACACTTTAACAAAATGTAATAAATGAATAAGGAACAGAGCTTATCTCAAGTTTCTCCTTAAATTGAAGGTGAAATACAAACCAAATTTCCGAGAAATACAAGAAATTAACTAAGTTTGTTGTTTTCTAGAACCCAACATGTAGTGGGTTTTTTTTTTGCGGAAAGTGTTACCACACAGTCATTGATTCACAGAGTTTACCACTTGTTTAATCCTTTGATATTAATCATTTTGATTAGGGTTCTGTCAGTCTATCACTGTCTGTACTGTGTAAGGTCAAACACTCCCGGGTCTCCTGGGTAAAAGACTTGTGTCGAGCTCATTCATCCATCCGGAGCCCCTCACTGCAAGGACTTTTGTGTTATTGTGTGGAATGGTACACGATAACACAAATGCACAAAAAGGAGAAACAATGCATAGATTTCTTGTTTGACTTTATGAAATGAATTGTCGGCCTTACAGTTCACACATTTTGCAAAAGTCAGTTCATGCATTTTTTTTTTCAAAGCTTCACAAAATGCTGTCTGATCCTGGGACGCCGGTGGTGGTTGATGCGCGTGCCCCATGTGCAGAGGCTGTGGTCCTCAGGAGCGGGTGGCCCGGGTTCCGGTCTGACCCGTGGCTCCTTTGCTGCATGTCATTCCCCACTCTCTCTCTCTCCTCGGTTTCTGGCTCTGTCTACTGTCCTGTCCCCAAAATAGGGACATAAAAAAAAAAAAAAAATGCTGTCAGCTGCCATCATTTGTTGGATATGATGAGCTTCAGATTCCAGTTTCTTTAAAAAAAACTGCTGATTTTAAGGTTAACATCCAACTTTACCCCTTAAATCCATCAGTTTGTCCATATATGTCACTTCACAACATGTGATTCACCTGCAGAGGCAGAGCCAATATTTATCTGCTGGAGTGCTTTGTTGGCATCAGCTCCTTACAACATGTGCAAAGAAGAAGCATTGATCACGTCCTAAGTATCAGCACTGAGGCTGGTTATTGAACAGGTTTGCTCTCAAATCACAACCGGAACATGATTATGATGGTGCCGCTATGGCAACCACAATCATTAAAAAAGAAAGTCTGTAGTAAAAATAAAGATTATTCGATATGAATGAGTTGATGTTTTGTGCAGAGTGGTAGGTAAGAGCTAAAAACACAAATGCACTGACTCCCAAGTTTGCATTCAAAATAACCAATAGGGAGAAAGAGTGGAAGAAGAAAAAGTCATTTCCTGCCTCTGCTAATGGACAACACCTTGTTTTTTTGAGAAGCTCTGTTTTTATATTAACATTAGGTGAAATAATTATGTATAATGTGAAGTCCCAGACTAGATTATGACTCTTGTGGAAGTGCGCGCAAAGATAGACATGGCTTGTTGTGTCCTGAAAGGGAGAGATGTGTGTGACTTTTACTGATTTTACTGCTCAGTTAAATGATCGTGTTGAGAGGGTGGAGGTGTATGTGTCTCATACCACCACACCGGGCTGAAGTGTTGAACGTGAGAATGGATTCAGTGATGCCCCTCTAAAAAGTGATACTTATTGATTGACATGCACTTTTTGAATTTAAGCAAATAAAAGTTCAGACATCATTTCAAGAAGATCAAAAACATCCAAACTTTGACAATTGTCAAATCTGTTGACAGTTTGATCACATGGTGAAAAACACTCGCTTTTGTCTTGAACTGGATCCTTCCATATCTTTCTATAAACCTCTCTTTAAATTCAAGTGGTCATTAGTCTTAATAGCAACTTTCACAGAATTCTTTCAATACGATTTCAGTGACTATAAAGGAGTGCACTACAGTAGTGCTGTTGAGTGCATTTCAATCTCAATAGCTTTAATCTACTCAAATGTAGGAACCCCACTGAATCTTCCTTTTAAATCTTCTTTTTCTTCTTTTTTTTTTTTTTATCTTCGTGGAGACAAGATTTCTTCTAGCATTTTCTCTGGCTACGTCTATGTTTCAATGATGCTTGAACCTTGCTCGCATAAACCAGCTTTTATTTATTCCTCAGTTTATTTGAGGCAAAGCAGAGAAATAATGGAGGAGCAGAGGCTGCAGAAAAATCTCCTCTTTGAGTCTGAAACATGACGGCAATCACAATGCACAACATCCTGGCTGAGTTTTTGTTAGTGCTGCTGCGTGAATGCAAAGTGGTGGGCGTTGTGTTCCTTCATTACTCTGCTGGCCTTGCTCATGACAGATTTCTATGTGTAATAATCTACGCATGTGTTATTCACTAAAATAGACTCGTCAAGGAAAATGATCTTGATTCTTGTTACACAACCAGACCTTGTTTATATGTAATTGAATTGACTATAACGTATTCCCTTTATATAAGCTTTTTATTAAGCCTCACTTTATTCTTCCTTTCTCTGCCTATCTTTTCAATAGTGCTCATTGTCGATGATTATTCAGCATGATGGCTTCCCTGAGATGGATGCAAGCCTGTGCAAAACTTAGTTTAGATTACAAAATTGCAAATTCAGTTTTGTAATATAGGAGCATTAAATATATTTTTCAGCATCATGTCGACTGCCCTTTTTTAAATGTTATATTACATAACTAAAGAAGATATGCACTTTTCTCTGAGCTAGGAAAGAGTCCTGCTAAGCATGTGTGCTGATACGTACTTGATTAGTTTGACCAAACCTTCATAAATTTTGGTTTCTAAGCATGACAATCTTGTTGATTTGATTTTGCTCTTTGGTGTAAAAACTGTTAAATGCAGCAAATAGCTCCTACGCTCACAGGGTACAATAATGCTTTCGGTGCTCAGTGAATCCAAAGTGAAATCAAATGAATCAATTATTTGTTTTGATGTCGTAAAGTTCACAAGAAATCACCAAGAATTTCCCTTCATTCTGGTTTGTTATTTTAATCCGTGTTGGAGCGCTTTCACCCAAAGGGTGTCATTAAGGAGTCAGTTTCTCGTCACAGTCAAATCGGTCTGGGTTTATTTTACCTTTTTCTTTTGCGAAAGATCTTGGGAGGCCATTGTTCCCTGTGTGCTGGAAAGCTTGTGCAAGTAGACCTCAGGGAGAGGACACGGAGAAAGGAAAACCTCTCAGTTATATAATCTGTCATCAGACATAATGTCGGGATTAACATCGAAGTAATTTAGGTAGCTTTCTTTTGTCGTTTTCCATTTTCCAAAAGGAAGATTTTTATATGACTTACTTATCTTGCATTGTTTTTTGTCTTGTCTTTTCAGGCTAAACCCAAAGAGTCGCGGCAGCATACCAGCCAGGTACATTGCCAAGTGCATCTTTGATTTCAAAATATCACACTTAACAAAGCTGAAGATCTCAAGACCTGTATGCATATGTTCATTTGCATTCTTTTGAATTAGTCTCTTACTGCCACATCTCACATTTTTTGTGTGTTTGTGACCATTAGTGCAACGTCTCCGAGCCCCACCTCACCTCGATCCCCCTCCTGGCCGATGTTCTCAGCCCCGTCAAGCCCACAGCCGACCTCCTCTGCCTCCAGTGATTCCTCCCCTGTCAGGTCTGTCCTCATTGTTTGTGTAATAATTTAACAAGCCACCACGGCTCTAAATGTGAAATATAAGAAGACAGTCATTGTAGTAATCCTGTGACACTCTCAGACACACACAGTGCATGTTGTATGATTTGTAACTGTGTGCAGTGAAAAGAAAAAGAGGAGAAAAAACAAAAGTGTATATATATATTACATTCAAGAGGTCTCACTTCTGGAGGTTTGGTGTGATTCTTATCTGGGAAGGTTAAAGTCAGGATGGATTTCACATATAAAATGTCAAAAAACTGCATAATTTTAATCAGTTGTTAATGGTCATTGAGTGTGCTGACAGTTCTGTTTTCGCATCATTCGCTAAACATTTGGAGTGATTTTGCAGCTGGAGTTAGCATTTGGCTAACTTGTTAGCCTTTCAGTAAAGTGAAAAAGGATTTTGTCCCCACAGAAAAACCTGAGGTAGCTCTTCATTTGAAATAATAAGAATTTGATATTTGTGACACCATTCAATGTGGTTTCTCACAGCTACGCTTAAAGTGACCCACCATGAGGGTGTCCTCCCCTTTGTTTAACGCAGCTAGAGGCTAAATTACATTTGGTCCCATCTACAGAGCTGTTGATCTAGAGTTGATTATCCTGAAAATTCAAATTCAGGTTATTGTGATCCATATTACAATTCTTTCATGACTTGATTCTGCCTCTGGTTAGTGTCACTAACTAAATGTCAGGCCTGTATACGTTTCTATATCAATCTTAGTTTGAACCTGAAGCTGTCTGTTTCCTCCAGAATCGACCTCAACCTTCCGTCTCCCTCTCTTTCTCTTTTTGTCTCCAGTATTGTGGGCAGGAAGGCTCGAGCGCTGTATGCCTGCAAGGCAGAGCATGACTCTGAGCTGTCCTTCATCGCTGGGACCATCTTTGACAACGGTGAGTCAGGCTCTGCGCTCGCCAGCAGAGCAGAAATAAAAGGAAAGAAAGGCTGTTTGAGGTTGGATAGAAACAAATGTTTCCTGTCGAAGAGAAAATTCAGCCCATGGAGATTAAAACACACTTAGGCTTGGTGGTGATTTAATTTGTCAAATTGAAAATCTAAAGAATTCTTAAAGTAGATCTTAGGCCAAACACTATCACAGAAATCACAATTTCTCTGGCGTATCTCCTTTTTTTTTTCTCATTGTATTTAAAAAGGTTCTCCATCATGTTTCGTTAAATTCTTTCTTTGTCAAGTGGTCGTCGTTTAAAAGAGAAACATGCACTGCAGGTGTGTTAATAAGCTTTAGTTCTTACCTTGAATTAAATTATTAGGAGCCTGAGTCCGTATGCTGATGCATCATTCTGTTAGTGAAGTTTATTTTAATCCAGCACCAGATTTCTAAAAAGAGGCTTATGATGTGAATTTACTGTTTTCACACTCTTCTCAAGAGAACATCAGAGGCTGGAAAAGCAGAATTAGTGAAGAACAATTCTTGCGTTGCTTTTGAATGCAGCTGAGCTCTAAATAACCTTCAAATGTGAGCCGTTATTTGCGTTGTTTGAGCTAAGAATTAGCAATGTATGAGAGTAATCACACCCACAGACTCAACCAATGTTTCGAAAAATATTAAAGATATTCCTTTTTTTTCTATTTCGATCCTTTCCAACCTTCCCCCATGCAGAACAATCATGATGAAAACATTTGGCCCTCTTCCGCCTAATTTCAACCTCTCAAACCTCAAGCTGCCAAAACTATGAATCACTTTGTCTCCCCTTAGTTTTCTTTGGCTCTGATCGTCTAATGAAGACCAGATTTGCAAAAATGTTAATGTTTATAAAATATTTATGCTGCTCTCATGGCTGTCAGGCAGAATAACAGTTGAACCGAATGGTTTTCATGGCACGACTGTGTAAATCCCTGCAGGGAAAAGGGACACAAATGGTCTGTCGAACCCCCAGAACATAAATAGAGTTAGCTGTGTTAAGACTATTGCTGCTTATGTAAAGCAGAGCAGTGTCATCGGAGCCATTTGGGTCAAAATGTGACCTTGTGGACATGTAATCTCTAAAGAGGCATGTCAGCTAGCCAGTCTGCTGACAGCCAGACCGGGGTGAAGCATCCCAGCTGTCCCTGTGGAGCTCATAATGCGTCTTTAGTGGTCATCAGGATACAATAACGATATATAGATGTGTCACCCTAGCCGTGCGATAGAAGATTACCATGGTGTTTAATTCATTGTGTTGCACAAACTGAATTTAAAGAAGGCAGAACCATGAAAATCAAAGACACATAATAAGCCTTTGCAATGTCTTGCATCCAGATCCCATTTGAGTTTTATGTCTTTGATGTGACTGTGGAGGAGTTAAGATTTACCGTGAGGACAAAATTAACTGAACACACGATTCACATCTGCTGCAATGTTCTCTTTAACTTCCTGTCTTTTAAGTCGTATCCAGGCAAGGCAAGACGAGGCAAATGCATTTACATACAGTAGCACATTTCAGCAACAAGGCAATTCAAAGTGCGTCACACAAGACATCCAACGCATCATGGCAAAGGGAGGGGGAGGGCAGTTCAAAGTTGATGTAACAAACAAAATCAAAGAGAAGCTCAATTAAAACCAGCAAAAACAGAAGCTGAGGTTCAGGTGAACATGCTTCCTCATTATTGTAATATTATTGTTCCTGCATTTTAAGCACAACAATATTGGAGAGACACAATCGAGAGAGAGAAGGGATAATGTTCACTTCCCAAATTCATGCTGTAGACTGAGTCACAACAGAAATGTGTGTGAACTGGGTCATAAAAGCCATTAAATGTTTTATGTATGAAGCAATACCCAAACTGAAATATAAAACAGATGTAGAATTTTACACACCAAAGAGTCACAATGAGTGAAACATTTGACTGTTAAAAGAAAGCAGGATGATGTTTCTGGTCGCTCCTGGAGGACAAAATCAGCCAAGAGGTAAGACGTACAGGGGGCGCCAGAATCAACACAAACTGAAAGTCCTAACAGACGCTTTAATAATTCACATTTTGACCAGTTACATTTTGCTAGTTTCTATTCTCAACTTACTTTGTCATTCCTTCCAAATTTGTATTCGTTTTTATCGAAAAAAATAAATAGTTAACATTAATTGACATCTATTGCTTAATAATTATAAAACCAAAGCTGCCTTAATATTTTCTGAGCATCTACAAACAGGTCAAGTATGAGTGGTATGCAAGAGGTTGTTTTGCAGTTTGACCTCAGCTCTACAGAGTTGTACTGTGCTTTCAGCTCGTTGTTTTGGCTTCACTTACCTTACATCAGTACCTGTGATGAGCCAGCTGGAAGCCACGTGGTCAACATGAAGACCTCAGCCCCGCTTCAGACAGATTTGACACGCCGTTAAAACTAGCAGAACATTAAGCAACTTAAGAGCCAAATCTTCCCCTTAAAAGTTGGTGGAGACCGAAATAAAAAAGAGGTGGAAGAGAAGTGAATACTTACCTTTGTGAAGTGGACAGAAACTAGATGAATGTTAATGTTGGTCCGTCATCTGCATGTGTCAGTGTTGAATTCCTTGCTAGTATGGCGGCTTTATAAATAGAAAACTGGTTAGAGGAATGTCAAAGGTACATACCATTCTTTATCTCAGTAGCTCATCATAGATATATAACCTACAACCTGACAGCTTTAGTGAATTTGGCACTGCATTGAAGGCTTCCTACACATCGACGCTTATAGTGCCTGAAGACTGTTGATTGGACGAGGACAAATGAAAGGAGGACAGTTACTAAGCAACTTGATTATGATTGATTTAGATCAGAAGACTCGTCAAAAGTGAATTACGTCTGCTTCAGTATTATATTGCCACATATTAGCAGCTGTATCTGTGTGTGATTTCCTGACAGAGATGTCCATTCGACATATTTACAAATAAAACACTTGGATAATGAAGAACATGTGGAATTTGGTCTCCTGGCCTAAGTTATCTGCATCTGTCTGTCAGCCCTGATTGCTCAATTCGTTACTCGCTCACTTCTGCACGTGTTTGCTTTTTAAGTGCCACTTATTCATGAACCTTTTCCCTCCGTTTTGAGTTGTTAAAACTAAATATTTTTTTCTTCTTTTTTTTTTTCCCACTTCCAGTTCATGCCTCAAGGGAGCCCGGCTGGCTTGAGGGGACTTTGGATGGCCGAACAGGACTGATACCAGAAAACTATGTTGAGTTTTTATAGTGAAGGGCCAGGAGAAAGACTTTACCTGGAAGACAATGAACTGGAGTAGACCAAACTGGACTGTTGAAGACTCGAATTAACTGCACAAGACGGAGCAGACTTTTATATATCTTAGACCATACTGGACTGGGCCACTGTAGACGGGGACTTGAAGCTGGACCGACAAGAACCTGTTGGAGTAGATGTGATACTGGAAAGAAGAGGAGCAAACTTACTACGAACCTGAGGGAGACCCATGACTTGCACTGGAAAATAGAGGCGTCCAACTGTGTGTGTGTGTGTGTGTGTGTGTGTGTGTGTGTGTGTGTGTGTGTGTGTGTGTGTGTGTGTGTGTGTGTGGTTTAGATTTTTCAGCCCTTGCTTTATCACTTTGAACGGCACTGCTTCAGCGTCTCCTCTTATAATCAGACAAAAAAAAAAAAAGAAAGATCTTCCCCCTGAGATGTTTGAAATGATGATAGGGAACAAAATCCGAAGCAAGTGGCATTCAACTTCGGACTTGTTAGTTCACCTTTTCTACTGGTGCATGTCTGAATGATTGCTGATCTCATTGGGATGGAGCTTTTTAAAGCCAATGTTTTAATGATTGAGTTTCGTTGTACAGCTGTAAATATGTTTTTGAGCACTTGGTGTGATGGTCTGGTAATTCCCCTGGACAGGACTCAACCTGGCTAATGTTTCAGAGCTCACAGTTCATGAGAAGGAGCCTCAGGGCGGATCAGCACAGAACAGGTTCGCTGGAAGGTCAGCGTTTGGTTTGAATGCCTCTCGCTAACAGAGCCTTCAGGAAAAATGTTTTAAGAAAAACGTTTCAAACAGATGGGCAGTTTACAAAGCGACGTTAATTTAACATTTGATTCCTGCTGTTGACAATAAGCCCAGCTGTGAGGGCTCACTTTGCCTCTCCACATGTATTTAATTGTTGGGAATAACTGAGTCCAATATTGAGTTTTGTGTCGAGTCATGTTTGCACTATTTCAATTCATTGTTGCGACTTTAGTTGAGGTGTGTTAAATGTCTTCAATTTCATGAAATCATATTCTATTTCATTCCTTTTAGAAAAAACACATGGGGGTGGCACACATACACAAGGGCTGCAGGAGTTCAGACTGTAGGGACTGACCAAATAGGTGCCAGTTTACTTTGAGCAAGGCACCAAATTACCAACTACTAGAGTGGCCAATCCCTGTGCAGCCCCTTTACTCTGATACCGCTCCATGAATGCATGTCTATAGGTCTTGTTTGTGCTTTGGGCCTTTGTGTGTGTGAAGCATGTCTCTCAAAACATTCAAATGTCTAATGTCCCTCGGGATTAATACATACAAAAATCAACATTCATGTTTTTATTCATAGCCGACATCTTTATCTAATACTTTGATCCATTACGTGAATTCAATAAATGACTTCAGTGGAGATTTTTTTTTTATCTCTTACCAAAGAAGTATTGCATATTGTACATCATGACATCTCTCATCACGTCTAAAATCTTAAGAAAAGATGAATTAAACATTTCCTGAATCATTCAGTTATAGCTGGTCTGCTTTGGGGCTCCGAGCAATGTCCTCATTCTGGATTTTTTTTTTTCCTCGCTCTGTCACGTTTCCTGTGCTTTCCTTATTGGAGCAAATAATGAAAGAACATTTTAGCATTTAAATAGGGAAAAAATCAATGGGAGTCAAAAGAAATGAAATGTGAAACGAGACTACTTTGTTCATATCTGAACTTATTATTTATGACAGTTTCTTAAAAGGTGTAATCCTGAAATGTATTCAATCTGAGGTGTTTTAATGACATTGTAAATACAAAAAAAAACAGCATTTGATAAAGTATGATTTTTGAATTATGAAATTTTATATTTTGTATTTTTAGCCTACTAACTTAATTTCTTGATTCCATCTTTGTTGCCCAGATTTTTGTATTATTTACGTCTATCTAAGCCTTATTCTTTCAGATGTTTTGGTGAATTGACAAGAAATTGTGCAGAATTAAAGGAGATAACAACATCCAGAGTTGGATTTTTCTTCTACATTAAGCATTGAGGCTGAATAACAGTTATTCTGTGGCTTTATTCACAAAACATGTAGCAGAGCTTTGTTTGTATTTTTTTGTTTCCTGAGCTTTTAAGAATGATTGAACCAAGATGAAGTTATTAAAAACGAAAATCACAGTGATAAATGGATTTGATATCTAGGAATGTTATAATGCTCAAACTCTATAGAATGCACATCTTTAATCGCTGAATAAGATATGGAACAAGCTAATGGATGAGAACGCTTCAGTCCAGTCTGCCTTCATATATGGTATACACTTATTGTATCAAATATTTTTACAGTTAAGGTTTTAGAAAAAGAAAAAATATTTAGTTGATCCTTCAGGTTATTTATAAATGGATCCACATTTTGTAAACAATTGTGCTCGTAAAGAAAGCTGCTAAAATCAATTTGCAGCTGAGAAACAGTGAAAGGTTAAAGTAAAAGCACCTTCAACCATTCTGACCTTTCTTTCCTTTTCTACACAAACTCACTGAAAACTCACCCGCTCTTCCCAAAGTGAAATATTCAACTCTTACCTCTTCAGCTTACTAAGAATTTTTGGATTTTTTTTCCCGTTAATTTCACACGAGCAGAAATGTGGAAAAAAATAGCTCTTAATCAGTTCATGTGTGTGCTCACAACTTCTTTAGTGTCTCCACTCATGAAGCTCGCCGTACTCTGGGAAATCACTAAACGGCTGATGCTTTCTAAGAAATATCTCCTGCACATAATGTCCTCTAGGATTAGGTTTGTTTTTGCACTAAATAAACTAATGGAACTGATTCAGTGAGCTATCCGCGGGGTCTGGAAGTGACATATTGATGATATGTTCCTCATCACTACTAGTCCTTTTTATAAGCAAAAGCATAATTCCCCTTTTTTTGGTGTTATATACTTCAATAGATACAAAGTTCATATACTTTTTAGATTTTATTCTTATGCACATAAATAATAATGTGAGAGGGCAGAAATAAAACATGTGCGCTGTGCCTTGAAAAACAGGAAACTTTATTGTGTATAATATTTGAACTAATCTGTTCTGAATATCCACGTTCCACCTGCGATGAAGGAAACATTTTCCAAGTCATTTCCAACACGAAGCCAAATCCAATGTCAAAGAACAACACAGGTAACTGAATTCAACATTTAATCAAATAGGTGAAAATATCGACACTGACTACAGAAGAGGTGTATTACAGAAGTAAAACAAGCTATCGTTTCTTTTAAACAAACATTTTATGTTTTTTGGTTGTTTTTACATCGGATTACATTTACAGAACTGAAATATGAGCGAAACAGACTTCAATGAAAGCCATAGCCATATGTACCAGTGAAACATGATCTGCCCTTAATCTTAAAAGATAATATTTGCATGTATTTTATACAAAATAGAATTTATCAACCAATATGAGGGTAGTGCAATTCTGTCAGGCTCTGGTAGATTTACTTTCACGCGGAGGTTCAACTTTTTTTTTTTCTTTTTTTTTCTATTTTGTGACCAGTAAATCCTCACAGCAATATACATGGGAGCCAAAAGCCTGGACCTTTTACAAAAGATACCTTTCAAAACAAAGAAAGTACTAGAAGTTGGATAAGTGCTACTTAAAATGTAACTGCTTGAATACTTCTGTTTGTTAGTTGTTTTTTTTTTTTTTAATTCTCCTCTGCTTTGGTCACTTACACAACACAAAAACACTCCTCCAGCCTGTCTCACCCTTCTCTCCCTCCCTCCCTCGTTTCCGTATAACTTTTAAACACAGTTAGCATTCATGTGGACTTTCCCGTTGACTCTTAGAATTTACATTTACTTCACAAGACAAAAAATGTTTAACACTTCCTAATGTATTCAACACGTCTACCTTATCAAACACAAATGAAAAAAATATGTACTTTCTCGAGTCATTTAATATACAAAAAGGATTGGGTAAAATAATTCATATCAAAGAGGATCAAGCTGATGTATTCAAAATCACAGAAAATATTTTCTTTCTTTTTTTTTTTTTTTTACAATAGATCAATCTCCAAAAGTATTGATATTTGATAAGGGTTTATCTATTTCCTGATTTGAAATCTTATTTCTATGGCTCTCTGTCTCCCTTTCGCAAGGCCTTTAATCGAACAAGTAGTTGAAAGTTAAAAGAGAAAAAGTGTATAGGAGTATAGAGGTTATGTCTATGTAAAAATAGTTTGTAATAATAGACACTGTTTACATTGCACTGGTTATGTCGGCGCTGCTATAAACACCTATGGCCATTTAGAAACGAGCAGGGTTTAGGTTACATCAACACGTTAAAGCTGGTTTTCTGAAGCACCACCACCGGGAAACGACTGTAATACTGTTTGCAAAAGTTACCCAAACAAAGAGACAGTTTTGTCAAATATTCCCCGAATAATAATCCACAATGAAGTGAGCGGATTGGTTTTTTTTTTTTTTTTTTCTCCTTACAGCACAAGGCCACGAGAGCGAGCAAGCAGGTGAAAGCTGAAAGCCTGCACAGTACATGACCATCCTTTTGGCAGAATGGCTGATTAATAACATGATGGCTCTTATTGAATAGTGGCTCGTACTCGGCCAGAGCCCGCTGTGCTGTTTGCTGTAAGTAACACACAAATGAGCTGTCTCCATGGCAACCTGCTACCTGGTCTGCTAACTGCAATTCAGGATTATGGGCGGAGGGATGAGTACCATTCAGAATAAATATTTGAGAATGTATAAGGTCGACATTGTAGGCATAGAGGCAGTTACAAGAAACACAGAGGAAAATAGAAGCATATCTGCTAAGAGGGGGGAGGATTGTGTTTGTACAACTGTGCAGTCAGTGTTTTGGTTTGGCCATCACATTAGTTGGTACACATACATTTTTTTGATTACAAATGCACCAAGTGCTGACCACCACCTGTTTGACAGCAGCAGATATTCCTGCTGACCTTGCAATCTTTTAAAATACAATGTGTTTGTGCATCTCCATAAAAAAAGTCTGTCATACACTTTCTCGGAGAACAATCAGTAAGTTTAAGCTGGTGTCGGTGTGATACTGGACTAAAGGAGCACTCTCGAGCACAGTAACAAGAACCACATCATGTTGAATTCCATCCGAATAATTACTTTTTTCACTTCTCCAGGAAAGGAGGCATAAAATCTCTCTTTTAATACATTTGGCACTAGTGGATCACATCGAGGTGATGTGATCACTCATAGCCTGAGCTTTGATTCACAAATTTCATGGACCGAAGTCATCTTAATCCAAAAAAAAATAAACTTTAAGAGATTAAATCCTGTGCCAAGAACAGAAGTTCCATCGATTTTGGGTGTCTCTATTTTACATCTCATATACAAAATAAATAGATTTCTGTTTAATTATCTTCATAGCCATCTTTATATTTTGGGCTGGTCAAAAGAATAAATACCTCAGTAGCTGTTGATGTAAACACTTTAAGATGAACCTGATTATAGGATGTATTTGATGTGGAATGGCATATTTCACAGACAGGTAAAGTCATTAAAAATGTGTTTTCAGAAATATCTTGTTGTTGAATGTCTTTTTTTTTCCTTCTGTTTTTGGGAGTCCTACATGGGGATGTTGGTTGAACCAAACTGGGTTTGGTTTGACTTGGTTACTAAACTTGGAGCTATTCGGCCGTTCTGAATCATCTCAAATCTATCACTTAATGTTTTAATGCTGCTTAAAATCCAGTCCAGTGATCTTACAGGTTCCATCAGCATTATTTCCAGTCCTACTTGGCCATAAGTCACTCCGAGTGAGATCTAGAAAACTAAACTTTAAAGTAAGGTTGAATGAAAACCAAAATAGAAACGCTGTGGAAATTCAGCCACAAGGTTGCAATTATGCAATTGCATATCAATAAATTGAACAGGGTTTGTTGAAAATGTTATCCCAATTAACAACTGACTGATTATTCTAGCCCTAAAAATAATAAATGTTACACAACATTAGACAGCCTTGTTTCAATTCCAGTGGTGTCCATTTTAGCACAAAGCTGGATGCAGCCTCTCTAAAACTTGTTAGATAAAAAGGATCTTGATGTGTCATTTATATTAACTTTTTATATATAATATTAATCTGGATACTCTAAAATTATGCAATACTGATTGAGAAATACAGTAGAATTATCAAATTGACTTCACATGAGGAAAAGGGCAAACACATGCAATGTGTTTTTGGGGACATAAAAACATCTTTTCATTCTTTTCTGTCGTTTATATGTTATTCTCATTCTTTTTAAGACCTAATCCTTATAATTAAGATCTTCATATTTCATACTGATGTACATATATCCTATTTGTACCATATGCTGTTTTCCTACGATGCACATTTAAGGTCCAGAACAGAGAGAGCTGCCCACATTAAAAACACCACAACGGTTGCTTGGAGAGAAAAAAAAAACAAACAGGAGAAATATGCAGACGGATGTCGAGGTTAGAATCTTTTGCAAAACAACACGGGATTATATAGGATGGCTTTGAAAGCTAAAAGGCACTGTTTTTCCCTTCTCAGATACATCCTGTGTAAACATTTCACTGAGTGAGTGTGTGTCCTCGTATACATTTTCTATGTTAGTGTGCGTAAGTGTGTGGTCAGAAATGAATAAAACAAAAGAATATTCCTCGAGCTGATTTTTTTTTTCTACCATTGGTCGGATTCTACAATTTCAGAGAAGATAACTGATTTTGCAGCTGAAAACAGTTCATCCTTGATTCCTTGGGTGCAAATAAGACTCTCCAATGTCAGAGTGAGTTCTAATTTTTCTGTTTATCCCCTTCAATGCCGAGTGCTCTGGAAACCGAAACAATTGAACACAACATTCTGTGCGCAGTGGAGCTGTGGGGGGCAAACACTGATGGGCGAGGCAGGTGAGCAGAGTAGCAGTGGGACTGAACTTGGGGCGAGCTTCAACACGCTGCTTATCAGGTGAGCAGGACGGCAGGGTGAGATTGATGTTGATGGAGGGAAAGGTGTTTCTAGGTGTTGGTTTGTCAGCAATATCAGCAATAAAACACAAGTGGCAGGAGAGAGAAAATAGGCAGGCAGCCACCAAAAGAAACTGCATTAGATCTGTGAGGACATGGCTGTGGACGGAGGGGGGGGGGGGGTTGAGGGGCCTCTTGCCAACATACCAGCCAATATTTCTCCTCTGGAGGACAAAAATTCTTCCTGGTTAGTCGAGAAGAATGGCTTCAGGTCAGCTGAGAGGCTTCCTAGCATAGTTTAGCCAAACCTTAGACAGGATAAGAAGGCATGAGGCGGCAGGTATTGTGCTCCGAAATTTGGCTGAATGGCTGGTGGGGTGTGGCAGAATTCCTACGGGGGGCTTGGGAAAACTGGAGGAATCAAAACAGAGCAGTAGGGGAGGCAGGACAAGCCAAGGCTTAGAGTTCAGGGGCGAAATCTCGGGGCCCCCGAGAGGTACACGGGCAGGGCTGAATTTAAGGCATTGCTTCACAGTTTAAGGCAGTCATTTCTGATGAAACAGCAGAGGCTTGACGCTCCCGTCTTTGAATTTTGGTATCTGGTTGGTGATGATCTCTGCCAGCATCTCAGGGAATTCCACACTGAGGGTTTTATTCACAAAGGTGTAGAAACAGATCTGGAGAAGACCCTCCACCATCTGGACGAGGAAGAGACACAGACAGATTAATGAGACTTCATTAGATATTAAAAAACTTTTTTCTTTCTTTTTTTTTTTTTTTTAATTTGCAGGATTATCTTGAAATGAGCCTCAGGTCTATATACAGGAGGTTTTTAATTCTGCAATTAAGAGGCTTTATGTAGAGACGGCATGTAACGGATTCGACTGGAACATTATGCACTTAGTGGGCTCTGCGAGTGTATTCTTCAGGGTTTTACACTAATCAGTTTGGTACAGGGAACTCAGCTGAACTCTGAGATACTGATGCACTTTAACCACAAGCTATGATTCATTAAGTTTGACTGGCATGAAAAAAAAAAAAGGTTTTAAAAAAAGAAGCAAGAAACTCTAAATGTTAGGGGTGCAACAGGTCACAAATCTTTCAAAAGGATTGAATTTGTGTCACTGATCTTTTTTTTTTTGTCTTTTTCTTCAATGAATTGCATCCTCTATTCAAATAATAATACAAGCAGTTCTGAACCAGGGGCGTGATCCGGATATATCGTGTGTGTGTGTGTGTGTGTGTGTGTGTGTGTGTTTTCTAACCTCCTGCATGGAGTCCAGTAGCTTAGTTAGCTGGTAAAAGCGCTGCCAGTTCTGACTAGTGTTTTCCTCTCTCTTCACAATGGCTTTTCCCAGCTCCTTGATGTACGTCATACGGATCTCGTCAAACACTGGCTGGCTTTTCAGGCCATCTTTTGGTACTGCACACACATATACAAACACAAACAGACATAACAGTTAGCAAGTTTGCAGGAATGGCAAAATCATTGAAACCCTGTGATAAAAAAAAAACGTATAAAATGCTATCATATGCTAAAATGCTAATCTATCAAATAAATCCACCAACACTGATGTGAGTCAATCCCCCTTTACATCCTGACAAAGGGGAGGGTATGAAATGTGATTATTTTTTTATAAATCTACTGTGTTGCTGTTTTATCTTTGATTAAATAAGAAAAAAACAACATTTTAGGTTTACTGAATCCCTACAACACAGCCATGTAGTTAGCATGAAGTTACACTTTTGTATCTGCTCTGCCATCTGGACGACAGGTCATGCACATATGAACATCTGTCTCAAACTGAAAATCCATCAGCTATGTTGCTATGTTTTAGTCTGATTTTCATCCTGTTCTTTGATGCAGGAAACAGCCAGCGGCATTAAAACTTCATTAAAATATATTGTTTGGGACCACAGCGAGGACCCTCTTAGGAGATGCACGCTAAACACACACACACACACACATGCATGCAGGCACCTCCTAACCAGAACGCATTAGGTAGTGGAAAATATGCTAAACTAAAGCTAGAGTAATAGCTAACAGGGGGTGTGTTTCACAAGTGACGAGGCCCAGATTTAAAAAAAAAAAAAAAAAAAATCTCAAAGGAGCAGTAAATATTTGGACACACACTTCACAAAATCATGAACTCTACATGTAGAGTGTGTATTTTTCAGCACTGGTTCCTGCAAAAAAAAGAAGATGCTAAAAACCACCAAATAACTGAAACAGACATCAATTTGCAGTCGCCATAACAACTGTGTCAACACATGGCAGACTTCATGTCAGTCTGGTGCCTGGCATCCGGCCCAGGCAAAGCCACAGAGCCTAGCCCTGAGATTATGCAAAACCACAGAGGGCAGGATTGGGGTGTATTACTGTCTGATTTACATTATCTGGGAGAGATACCACAGTGCTAGTTCTATTGGGCCTCATCATTATGCATGTTCAGCTTTGGCTAAGAGACTTTTTATAAAAGACTACAAACAGATTGCTCTCCTGCTCTAAACTCTGACTTTTTTTTATAGGAGATATTTGTTTAATGGGTGAGGGTTAAAAGAGATATCCCATCCTGACTTTGTTTTTACATTTCTCAAAGTATGGGGAAGGGTTTAAACTTTAAGACTAATTTCTTAAATAAACAGGTGTCTTGCACAGAGCTATAAATTCAAGTGGCCCCATAGGTGCCTTTAATTTTCACTCAGAAGCATGAGATGTGCTGACTGACAGCAGCTCAATCCCTGAGGTGGACAGATGGAAATAGCTCTCAGGTAGGAAAATGCAGCCAAGGCTCAGGATGGAAATGTCATTTCCTCCGCATAACCAGCATATCACATCTTAAGTGTATCCTTTGAGCTAAGAGGAAGGAAGAATGCCTTCCTCCACAGCTAAGTGCAAATTTACATAATAAGAAAAATGTTGGATTTTGTAACTCTTTCTTCATGCTGTGTATTTTTTTCTAGATATTTAAGAGGTGCTAATCACATAGTTTGACTCATAGCCAACTGCTACTGTAACTATTATTTGCATGAAGAAAGGAAGGTGAGGAACATTTTTAAATTCTTCTGGTCAGAGTCCATCCTTTAATGTGTTTCTCTCATCCCTCCCTTTTAAAGAAACTCAAGCAAATATAGAGGCATTTAGAATATAAAGAAAAAAAAACCTAACCCTAACCCTACTGGAAGAGAAAAAATCAATTCTAAACCTAATTTTCTTTCAGCTAAAAAAAGTCATCAAAATAGGAGGCAAGGTTTTATTGTAATGAGGTATTTTAATTTTGCACTCTCATTTAGGCAATTTGGCCAAATAGCAACTGCATTTTACCCTTTGAGGTAAGAAACTTAAATCTGATTTAAAAATGTTTTGATTTGTAATTTACGTGTACAGGACACAGCTGCAATTGTTTCTTTTAATGTGGAGAAACATGAGCTTTGTACAGAGTTGTAAGTACCTTACTTAAAGATCCTCTCAACTGAGTCAGTGATTTCAGAAGATGAACAAACCGTACTTTCACAGAAACACAGTTTTCAAGGAACCTTACAAAGTGATAAAGTTGTTGTGAAAGGCCTGTGAAAGTAAAGTTCACATTTTGAAATACAGTGTTGCAGTGTTCAGATCTGAGAAGTGTTGAGATCCACTTTTTCACAAAATGCTGGATGCCCCTCATCTTTTCAACAGTAACAGCAACAAGCAACAACAAAAAAACAAAGAATTCATGCTGCAGTTCAGTCTTTTTTGATGTATTGATGTCTCATTTTTTCTTTGTAAAGAAATGCCTGATGCTTAATTTGGTGCAAAATAGATGTGCCATGAAAGAAGTGTCTTAAAAACATTAGAAAAAAAGACACGATAAAATCCAAACAATAGACTTGTGTTCAATGTGAAAAAAGTGTTTGAAACTTTTAAAAGTCCACGGCATAATTGTGAGGATTAATAAAAAGAAGCAAAACATTTACACATGGTGCTTTCACTCAGCAGATAGTTGGACTATATTCTACATGGGGACAAAGAAACAGGTTCTTTATAAGAAGCAGCTCAACTGGTTCAAAGTGCAGACAGTAATCAGACACAACAATTATATAATATTCTGTATTTAGAAGTGCTTATTTTTGGGCGTTCTTGGAACTTAAAGATCAAAACACACACTTGTCAAAACACAGTGTTGCAAAGTGAACAAGCTTTGAGACCAAACTGAATAAACCACACGTGATAAACAGTATCTCGTTTTAAATCAAACTGCAAGTTTTGTACATTTTGTACGGCATTGATTTCAAAGCCTTATTAGTCTCATCAAACAACACTTAACATATGTAGGAAATGTGTTGTACTTCTATATATTTTTATTTAAATGTAAAGTAATATGTAATAAAAAAGCAATAACATTTGAGTTCATTTATTTGTTCCTTTATACATGTATAACTACCCTATCTGCTTACATATTAACATATCATTAAATAAAACTACACCAAAACAAATGTAGTCATCAATCCATTTGCATCAATACTGTTGAGTAAAAAAAATGCATCCATGATGCAGTGTCTCCCAGTCCCCTCAGTATAATACTATCCTTCAGTGGCATATTGAGAGTACTTGACATTGCAATGAAAAGGCTGCAGTGTTGTGTGATGGAAGATACAGCAGCAAAAATTGCAGTGACTTTTCAGAGGTAAGTGTTTTCCATTACCTGTGCTGAGCAGCAACAGGACCTTCATACACAGGTACTCATCATAGGACACCTGCAGTCTGACAAACTCGTTACAGATCTTCAGCATCTGCTCGCACTGCTCGTTCATGAAGGGCAACTTCATACGCTCTCTAAAAACAGGAGAATGAGGGAAAGGGAGAGGGAAGAAAAGAGAGGTGAGGGGGGAAAGAGATCAGCGGTGGATACGGGCGGGGGAGGGAAAAGAAAGACAGACAGATTAGACTTGAAGCTCGTTCACTTATCCTGTTATTCACTTCCCAGTCAGCCCCAGCAAGGAAGCTTTATAGCTGGGTAGCTGGGACACCAGACAGTGAAATCAGGACTGATGGCTTTCCACACCTCAGGACCACAAACACACACACAGCCAATTTTACCTTCTACCTCTAGAATAAACACAGCACATGTTGAAGAAACGGTATGTAGCCTTGGGTTTAGGGCTGACCAACCACAGTGCTATTGGCACTGGACTACATGACCTTTGATATCTATTTTAAACCTGCTTTGAGTTTTGTATGTCTATTGGGAGTTACTCTTCACAGCTTAGACCTCTCCTTCAAAAAAAAAAAAAAAGGGAATACAAAATACACCTTTTTCTATCTGTATCATTTAGGTAAGCAATATTGACACTTGGAAATGCCACAGAAGCTCAGGCTGTTGAATGCAAACAAAATCGTATTTTTCAAAGTAAAATGGTTCCTGGATCATAAATTTAAAAGCAAAGACATGAAAGCCCAACCGTCAAACTGCAGCATGCTAGCTTTTCAGAATCATAACAGTTTATGTTGGCTAGTAGGGGAAGCATGACGTTGTGTCATTTTGTCAAATAATGGACAGATCTGTTTCATCACGAGTATTCAAAGTCTGACCATCAAAAGCTGGAAACGGTGCAAACAAACAAGCTCACAGTACATTAGCCTTGGCATGATGCTGTTTTCTCTATAGACTTCATAGACGTTGGCAAGAGCAGAGACTTTCAAGCACAATCAATTTCACAGGCAGTGATTGTTTAAGTAACAAGGCTGTGTAATTAACACGCAGCTGTATTACCTGAGGCCTCCAGGCACCACAGAAGGTTATTTACTCTCCAGCTCAGTATGTCATTAATGTACTTTCATTTGTCTCAGTGAGAAATGTGATTTCTGGATGTGCTATTATAATGAATTAGTGTCTTCTTTCCAAATGATATTGCTTAATAAATCAAGTGAGATGTTCTTATACATTTCATTTAAAACATTTTTTTTTTTTGTTTTAGCTTCGACAACATGTCAGCAGCCTCCTCTGTGGTGTGTATGTGTGTGTGTGCGTGTGTGTGTGTGTGTGTGTCCAACAGGCTTTCTTTGTTTTTAATGCTACACTAGCCTAGCACAGAGCTAAATTAATGGATTAGACCTGGGATAATTTGAACCATCTTTTAGGGGATTTTCACCACCCTCTTATTTGTAATGTTCATTTACATCTGTCCCACAGCCTGTGTCTTTGATATCTACACTGTTGGCCTGGGGAGGGAGCAGACGGCCATGTGTTTCTTCTGATAAAGAAAGTGTCGCCTGCTGCTTCTCTTCACCTGATTTAACATCTTCACACGCACAAACTGCCAAATCTCCAATGTGAGCAAGACAAATGGGTGACTGTGTAAGCAGAGCGATAAGAAATCCAAGTGAGAGTGACAACCTGAAATAGCCAAATGCATAATAAATTTGCCTGACAAATTGTTGCGCATAAAAATACAGCAGCTGGCTGTGATACGTACTTGTTGATGACGAGATCAGGGGCGAAGCAGAGCATGCTGCCGTTACACTGCTCGTACGACCTCCAACCGAGGCTGAAGGACATGAGGAAGAGCCAGGAGCACTGCAGCAGTGTCATCTGGTCATCCAGGTGCAGGTTGCGGAAGCCTAGGAAAGTCCAATGAAGTGAGTTAGTAAGACACACAAAGAAAGAGATGCAAAACTCATTATCACACAGAAATCTATTTAGAGTAATTATCCTTCTATGAAGACAGCATTTTTCCGATCACAACAGATTAAAGTGTTTCTGCAGCTTGAGAAAAAAAGATGTTCCATAATATGGTACTGCTGCACTTTCTTCCATTGATTATATTAACCTATTCTGTTTCATCACAAAACATAATATAATTGCTTGTTCTCAAAGAGATACAGAAACACTGAACAAAAGAAAAAGTGATTGTCAGATGCATCATTAAAAACTAAATTACAATGCTCCAATAAAACCAAAAAGATCTAGTTAAGCCAATGTTCAAATTGGACTTGAATTAAACTTCAGTCGTTTCCACACTGTCAAAACTATACAAGTGGAACTGCACATGAAAAAAGTCCTTTCACATTACATTTGTTTGAAACCATGCTTTGTTATGTAAAAGCCACCCCTCACCCCAACCCCTCAGAGCGTTCCCTCACAATCATTTTGGCAGGCCGCCAGTTATGGACAATGCTCACATAAGATGTGAGCCAGATTTGCCCCTCATTATACTGACGAACACACGCATACAAGCACACACACCAAACACACAAACAAAGCAGCAACAAAAAGAAACGTTTTACTTCATGGATTCATTGAAGGATTTTGTTTGAGGGATCTGACCTTTATTCTTTGATGTGACTAAATGTAAAAATCAGAGTGAGAGTGGAACATCTCTGAGCACATACTTTAAGTGATTATCAAGTCATATGCCTTCTTTCTCATGATAACAACCAGCATGAATGCTTTAAATTCCAACCTCTTTGTGCTTCCAGTATTGCTTTGTAGAAATCTAACTGGTGAGTCTCCAAACCTGTCAATGTTTTTTTTTTTTTTTTTACTTTCGCACACAAATTTTGCTGGGTATTTTATCGCTGGGAAAACAAAAATACTGGTTAAAACACTTCTTTCTGAACTGAACCCCCACAATATTTGGTTTCAAAACCAAATTTTAGTGGGAGCTTGCACCTGTTGTGATAACAGGGATAAACTGCAGCTATTCTTTGATTATGTTGACCTGCTTCACTTCTGAAAAGAAGAAAAAAAGAATATTTCCTCAATAGATAAGTGGATTATTATTGAAAATTCGTCTATCTGCAAATTAAAAGCTGATTAACCTCGGTCACGTCCTGATAAAAATTATACCACTCTGAAAAAGCAAGGTTTCTAAAGTGAATTACTCTTTCATGAGCCTCCATTACTCTCCGCTTCAGTCTGTAATTGTGGATTCAGCCGTTACGCAGGTCAAACTTTTTATTACAAGGTTCAAGAACATCTGTTGTTCCCGTCTACCTATGTCAAGGGTTTTCATGAAGAGAAAAGACAATCGTATTTTTATATAAAGTTATAAGTGAGCGACATGAAAACTTCTACAATGGCCACTAATTACGGCAAACAACTGGTTGCCAGCCGACCCTTCATTAAATCAGCCAATTGATGAAACTAAGCTACAGCTCCTTTTGTGTGTCTCATTATCGCATGAATCTGTTAATGGGCTTGAAGCTGAAGGCCTAATCTGAATGACCGTATCAATTCTGACAAAAGTTATGTATAAACACCTGTTGTAATCTCTAAGAGTAACTCAAAGACAAAAGGGCTGTTAAGAAATCATGTTCAATTTCTCTTATGCTAATTCAAACACTTTACATAAATTTGCAGGTTACTTGTGGCAACTCCTTTAGTTTAGAGGAAGAATGCTAACAATGCTGGCTAGCAGATGTTCTGCTAACTTGAGGGCATAAAAAAAGCTTTCTTTTGTTGTATGCAAAAAGCCAAATTTGGAGTGTTGCATTAAACAACCAAGGACATTTCCCATTTGATCTAAAAAGTGATATCACTTCCTATAGCAGCCGCATGTATAAAAAGAAAAAAAAGACTTTATTTTCGATCAGTCAACTCAGCCACCCATGAGTCTCAGTTACAATCTAGAAATACCACCAATGACATGCTTTGCTTTGGTGTTGGCATGCATGTAACCCAAACCAAAAGCAAGGCACGGTTAGGAGATTTTTCTTACCTGGCAGGGACTTTGCCCACTTGACTGCAGAGATGACCTGCTGTCCTCCCAGCCTGTTCAGAGTGGTCATGAGCCGCGACGAGGTGTCAGGCAGTGTGCTGTCGTATCCCGAGTAGAGGATCTCTGGCTCGATGGCCTTGAGCACAGACAGCATGGTGGGCACGAGTTGGGGCATGCACCTGGGGATGACTGGAACAGGCATGTTGTTGAGAGGCTCGGATGATCCAGCGGGTCGCTGCACTTTCATCTTGATCAGCTTCTTGTTTTTCCTTGCTGTAGGGACCGGGCAGGACAGAGGAGGGGGATTAGAAGAAGACATGCAGTTTGATAGAGGATAGTAAAGTGTAACGTGTGGTATCTCATTTATTGTATCGTATCGCAGCATATGGTGTTATAATGTGTTGCGATGTATTCAATCCTGATCGTGATTTTGATACATCAGTAAGATTGGAATCATTATTTTAATTTTGAATTCATCCAACGTGTCATTTTTTTTAACCATTCTGTCTATGAAGTGTGGGTAAACACTGAACAAACATTCAAATGTCCGAGAAACAAAAGTCTAATCCTAAAATGATTCTGTTGGACAGATCAAAAATCACAGAACCAGAGAGGGGTTATCTAATTCACAAAACAGCAAATCCATACAACAGACAGGAAGCTGGAGCTATGAAACATGATGCGGCAAAAGGTATAAATGTTCCGTCTTTTACTTTTGATAACCAACCAGTCTTGTTTGATTCCTGAACAAATAAATATTTTGCTTACAAACCCACTGAAGCTCACATTCCACTGCCTCTCACCTATGTGTCTTATAATCAAGAATCCTCACAAGACATCAATCAAAGCTGATAGAGAGGTTAACACAGGCATTAGATAGTTTTCTTATTTTACATGTTATAACAATTCATTTTTTACAAGACCTTTGTCCTTTGTATAACACGTGTTTTTGTCATACAATAACCTGCTTGTTGAAGTGTTCTCTAATAACTTCAAAATCAATGAGCCTAAATAAACCTGCAAATAGGTCAAGAGACTGTGAAAATAGATTCCATAAAAAGATGGATAACATGAAAGCTCCCCAAAACTCCTCTTACTGACTGGCTGCAGAAGAGTTCATATAAAGTCCACGTCCTCTAGTATAGTTTCTATCTTTAGAGTAAGTCCTTATCATATTGATATATGCCTGCCTAAGTGTTCACTTTTCTTCTTGGTTAGCAGTGAGAAGAAATGTAAAAAACACTAACATAAAGAGTCATTGAACTTTCTATAGCCTTGAACTATCTGCTTCAAACCAACACAAAAATCTGTTGTACTGTGGATTGCACTGACCTGATGGATAATTGCCATTTCATTGATGGGTTAAATGTGTGTTATGGTTGGTAGATTGATTGGCTCCCCGAGCCAACACTTACTGTTAAAAATGTGCAATATGTCAGCGTCAGTCAAGGGCGCAATTTTAGCTTCACTTTTGTACGATGGGAAGCACGGGGACAAGTCTTGTCCATATTTATATACAATTGGTGACCAGGAAGTGCTGGTTTGTGCCAAGGCATAAACCATATATTTTCTGATTCACAAAAATAAAACCATTCAATTTCTCTTTCATGTTTTTACTCTTCTCTTGAGTGCAATAACAGCGATGCAAACTGCTGTGTTTTTTTTTTTGTTTTTGTTTTTTTAGCAGAATAGATGTCTGGGCATCATTTAGCCATTTGCGCCCTCTAAATGTGAAAAACATGTCAGGAGTTGAGAGGTTACCGTGAAAAAACATGTTTTTTCCTACTCTACCTTTTTTTATTTCCTCTTCTGGCGTTTCTATGGCAACTAAGAGCCTTTCTGGTGGGAGTGCATCCACTGATGCACTGATGTCCATCAAAACCATCTCTCTTTCTGTTTCTCCCTCTGTGTTTGAAACTGCTTTCACCTTTGTGTGACAAACACTGGACTGTTTACACGTAATGTCACTAAAGGCTGATAACATTTTTTTTTTTTTTTAAAGCTATGATCTCTCTTTATAATACAAGAACAAAGGTTGAAGCACTTTAGCAGATATTGTGCTTCACCTGTTGCTTTTTCCGAAACCTCAATCCAATGTAATTGTTGCACTTTGGGTCCAAAACTTTTATCCCATTAAGTAGAATCAGATAAAAGATTGATGGCTATGGGTTGTGACTTCACAGTGGATTATAAATAGGTCAATATTTGTGAGGACGGTCTTATATTCAGCTGGGCCTGCATACCAGTACACATGTTCAGAACAGCACAATCACAGACACTCTGCGCATGCACGCGCACAGATGCAAAACTCAAACCCAAACTCCAAACTAATACATTGCATTGATTGATTTCATTATTCCACTATGACTTGTAGAAAGGGGGGAGAGGATACCATGTACAAAGGTGGTGTCCCATTCTTCCTTATGAAAGTTGCTCCCAGGGTACATAGGCAGCAGAGCCACCACAGGCTACCCATTGAGTCCTTTTCCATCAGAGCATGTCCAGCAGCCTAGCTAGCTGACTTACTGTTGGCTCCGAGTAGATGAGAAGTAGAATATTTTAATAAAATAACTCATATAGACTTTTTAAATGTCACTGGCGGCTCAAGGGGCGGCTCAAGGGGTTTTTGTGACGCTAAAGAAAAGGTATTCATGGCTTTATAGCTGCTCTTTCCAATAAGTGTATATGGGGAAAAATGCTTTAAGGGCCAGCTTGAATCATATGTTTAACGGGAAATGTGCACTGCGTCAAAAAAGCCACTTTGCTAAATTTCTCCACAGACCACATGTTCCACTTCAGCTGAAAATTCCACACAAATGTCAGTCTCAATTAGTCCGGACGTGATTTAAAGGTGGCTCAGACTATTTACCTTCCAAGTTCATTCCGGCTTGAAGACATTTCCTGAAGCGACAGGCCGGGCAATTCTTCCTCCGGATCTTATCGATGATGCAGTCATTTCTCCCTGCACACAGGTAGTTGTGCTGGCCTGGACAGAGGAGAGGAAAGAGAGGGATTATTGTAAGCGGTGTGTACTATGACCACAATAACCTGTTGATTCTACAGTAAGCCTGACAAGCCTGTGGCATCCTAATGGTTTTTACAGCCTCACTTCCTCAAGTCTGTACTTAGAACACTTAGCATAATCTCTGATTGTGTAAAGAGCTATTTCAGCCAAACAATCAGACACAGCCCACATTTAAATTATGGCTTATGTAGTCCAACTGGAAAACTTGTATTCACAAACTAAGAACCCTTTCCTATTGTGTCTCTCTTGCTAGCTGAATAGATATATGACTACTACTGATTAGTATATGGGAAAATGAACCCATGCTAAACTTAACTGAGAGACAACTTCTGAATGTTATCTGCAGAAGTCATTGTTTTCATAACCGGTTTTCATGCTATTACTATACCAAGCCTAAAAAAAGCAAACAGCTTGTTTTAACACACTTCCATTGCAGAGCCCCAGGGAGTGTCACATGAATCTCATCTCGTCACAAGTGTACATTATCAGTCAGACAAACATTAACAAGGAAGTGTCTTTTATTACGTTATTAAAAAAACATTTCATGGTCATCTTTTTTTTCAAGTTTCACTATGACAGTTGTTCTGTGAAATATAACTGTCGTGTTTAACTCGAATCACCTCTGATGTGCTCGATGAGTCACTGAGCCAACAAAGAACTTCCTACAGCTGGTAAGACTGTTTTTCACAGTTGCAAAAGAGACTGTGGGCAGTGATTTGGAAGAATTGAACACTTCATGTTATGTAATATCAGTGAATATATGTATTCATTTCAAGTTTTTTCTACCTCCTTCAGTTACTGGTCGACGCTAACAGGAAGTCACAATTAGAAATATAACTCAATGGCAAAAGCTGTTGCAGATAGAGATTTACATTAACTTCAAACATGAATGTGGGTATGTATGAAATAATCATTGTGAAAATTTGTGATGTCTGACTTCTAACTGAAAACATCGTGCAAGTCATGCAGGTGTGTTAAAGAGATATGATTTGACCAACTGACACTGGATCTGTGCTGCATCTAACTGAAGTTGAACCATTTTGACACTTTATAAGCTGTATGAGGGACGAACACAGTCATACTGAAACAGTACATTTACTCTTTATATAGAACGTCTTCCCCTTTTGGATTCCAAATTGCTGACTAATTTATTTCAATTTTATAGGGTAACAGCTGTTTCAGTCAAAACTAAAAGACTATCTTTGTTCAAATTGTTTTATAAACTCCCTCATTAGAATAAAGTCCATACCCTACTGGGTTAATACAGTATTGCATGGCAACATAAAATAAGTGTTTTCAGCCTAGGTGTAGGTGTGTTGGCACAAGTGTAAGAATCAAAGCATCACATGTGATTGAGTAGACAAAAAGTATGACCCAGCAAGGAAAGGCAGAAGCAGAAGATACAATAATTCAAAGCATAGAATCATGTTTACATGCAGTCTCTTCATGGTTTTAAGAATGACACTGAATTTCTAATATGATGTACACATTATAATACTATGACACAGTTAATATTTCACCACGTCGCCCTTCAGTTGTCCTTCATTCATTTATTCCACACAAACTGAGGCGCTCCGCACTCGACTCAAGTCGAGAGTGCCAAATCTGACAAATGCCCTTTGAGACGTAAAACACAGTTACTGATCTTTGAAATATCATGTGTTTGATGCAGCTTTTTGAACCAAAGGGCATTCAATAATACTGCTGCTGGCGCCATATAATAGAATGTCAAAACAACACTGTACAGAGAGTAATTTTTCTTTTCCTTTTTAACAACATCCCACAGGCATAAACTACGGTATTTTCTGTAAATCAAAAGCTGCCTTTGTATTCAGAAAATCATAAACATCATTGTAACGATGCCAACCCAGTTTTGGACACTATGTTCAGTTTCTACCAATGAGTTCAATTAAATGTCTTATGATTCTTATGACCAAGCAGGGACATAAAGAAACCAAAGAATCACAAGTTGTCTGGTTGTGTTTTGTATGTACACTACCATTCTTGAGAGTTTGCATCCATTGGTATTTTGTAAATGAAACATCTGAGGATTCTTTGGGCTAACCAACAACTGTCCTGTGATAAAAATGTAAGCAATGATAAAAATAAAAAAATCTTAACCCCTTCAATTAATAACAGGCAGATTCAATCTTTCTTGTCCTTGTTGGGTAAATGCTGATCCCTGCTTCGGGCCAGTAATGTAAGTTAACACAAATATGTTCATCATTTATCTTCAATCCGACTAGAAAATGAGATGAGAAGCTGCAACAGCTAGGTCACACCATGGACCAAAGACTCCAACCAAAGATTTAGAAGATGATAAACTAATAAACATTAGCAGGGCTGTGGATGTGGATGAAACAAAAGCGTTACAATTATTTATCTAAAGTGTTCAAAAAAGGATTACTTTTCTATCAATATCATCAAACTTTATTTTAACTCAAGATGCTTATTTCAAGCTAAACTCTAAACCCTGCATTATCATCAAGGATATATCTTTCTTGACTGCATATCTATAACTGTCTATATATAGTGCAGCCCCTTCCTGTATGCTGAAAAGAGAGTGAATCCTGAGCCTAATACAGCAGCCTACCAGCATGTACTATGATTACCAGTAAACAGTGAATCTGGGACATCAAGCAAATGATTAGCTCAGCTTAATGACATTTCAGATCAGCAGTGCCCTTCATCGATTTTTTGCAGAAGCCTTAAAAATACTTTAATCAGACTGAGGCAAGCACTGTTTTATAAATATATCATACTAGAGACTTGCATAACTGTTACAAAAAAAGGTTTTCTTGGTTAGGACCCAATAGTCGTGTTCAACACAGCCCTACATTTATCTTCAGGGTTGCTGGTGTGATGGCAAGATAACAGCCTGAGCACTGCCAGTTGCAGCCATGACTGATATCACAGAATTCATTGCAAACAATGCCGTAAACAGCCATATGTGGTGTCAAAAGTGCCAGCTGAATACCACTGACATCCTGCCCTGATCTGCCAACAGGGGCCTGCCAACAGGGGCCTGTATCACCATGACAGGGGGAGATTACTTACTAGGTTTATAGCTAGCACTAGCATGTAGGGCTGCAGCTTAAATGCTTGCACAGTGGGCCAGTTGTTACCACTGTTAACTCATTGCATTGAAGTCCAGAGTTACTTAACCTTAGTGATTACATGTGAAAGGCAAAATCAAGTAAATGTTGATACAAAAACAACTTAATCACAATCTGATCAAATGCGGTAGTCATTAAAGTTTCTTACTAACAGAGGTGGGTAAAGCCAAATGATGCATGTTATTGAAGGCCTCAAACCCCAATCATGTTCAAATATTGGAAACAATCCAAGCCATTTCTGATATATCTTTTTTCCATTAACTAACCCTTAAAATAGGACTGCTTTGCAAATTTAGCAGTTCATTTTTGCATCAAAACAACAATTAACCACTGATTCTACAGTATATCTTCCTACAGCGAAGACAAAGAACTTACACTGATTTGTGCTACTGCCAAAAAATATTAGAAGGCATGTAGGGAAAGGAGTTTTAAAAAAGATGGAAGGAAGTAACTTTATTGATTATTATGTGAACATACCAGAATGTTAATTGTGGTGGTAGGTGGAAGATTTTTGTGTTAATAAATATAGTTAAAGGGTTTTAGTGAAAAAAAAAAAGTTGAGTCCCAGTAAATAAATAATGTAGAAATCTGTCTCAGACACACTGCCTTCCCTCACCTCCAACAATCCCAAGTGTTCATAATTTACAGAAAAAGTTCAAAATTGTGCAGATTAAATTTAAGGATCCAGCGGTGGTTTATTTTTAAGTAAATTATACCATTAAATCACAAACTGGACCATCTGAAAATGCATAGAAAAAAAGCTAACAAAATAGCCTCTGTTAGCTTTAAAAAAAAAAAGAAAGTATGTGTAATTCAATTGACAAAAACAACAGCATGATGTTCATAGGAGTAAAAAAAAAAAGTGGGGTGTGGTCTGAAGACATGTAAAAGTAGAAACAGTGACAGGCAAACTAAATTAAGAAACATAAAGCACAAGGTGGAAAAAAGGTGAGAGGTGATTTCTGACATCAGATCCCAGGAGGCAGATGTGGGTCAAGTGCAGAACAATGGGCCTAATTAGAGACAGGGTGCGGTTGTAACTGTTGGATCCACCACCTGTGAGGTAGCTGAGGTGGAGCAATCCAGGCAGAAATTGTAGGCCCACAAAAAAGAAAAAAATCACTGACAGGCATTTAACACTGACTTGAATTACCAAGTCAGAACATTTGCATGCATTAACACAGAGCTGGCAGGAAAGGCTTTGCATGTGTCTGCAGATTGGTCATATATATCAGTGTTGAAGGAATAACAAGCACATGGGCAAATCAGAGGTGACAGGACTACCATCATCATAATCATCATTTTTTTTATTTTCATTATTGTTATTGTTAAAAGTGCATTTATTTACCATCTGTGTTTTGTCGTGCTCTCCATCCTTCACCACAGAGACAACGACCGGAGAATGGAGTGTAGGGGGGAGGGGGAGAGAAACAAAAATAACACATATGACTTTTTCAGTTGCTACTGTGGTCATCCCTTTTGAAAATACAAGTTCAGGTTAAGTGCTTGGCATTTAAACCAGCGCAACATATTAAATAGCTCATACACTGGATAAAAAATAACAAGCAACTTTAGCAGAATGTCTATCTCAAATAAAGTGTTTATATTTACAGGTTTACTCTTTATCTGTATTTCTGGTTCTATGTTCATTTTCTAACGTAATAGTAGCCTCAGAAAACCAAAACATATTCAAAATTGCGAATATGTTTTTGTCCTGAAGTGCAGCAGAAGACAAACAGTCTACATCCCGCTTTGCCAAGAGTGATTTCCTTACTGTAAGTTTTGTCACTAACTGCATTACTGCACTAGAAACAGTAGTCACAGTAAAACCGAAAGTGACAAAATCGAGAGTGTGAACTTAAGAGCAAGAGAAAGAAAAGAAACAAGAATTTCTGTCTGCAGACTGGCACTGAAACAAGAGATTAGTTTGGCTCATTTTTGTGCATTTAGTAGCAGAGTTGTTAACCTAAGCGTTACCCAAAATCCAGATAAATGCCATCACCAATTGACGCATTACCTTTCAAACTAATAACCTATCTACTGTATTAGGACAGCTTTTGACTGGCAGAAAATGAACAGAAGCCATGACAAGCAGAAGGGAGATGGAATGCAGGGCAGAAATACAAATTACTCTCCGTTTGTCACTCGCATTCCTGACACTCCCAGCTCGAGATTTCGCCGAGGCAGTTAGTTCTCACGCAGCTTTTCCTGGGATAAAAATCGACTGCATTTGAATGCCCCAGATGTTTGTGAAGCCAAGCAGAAGAAGGGATGTATTACAAGCACAAGATAATACTTTCCTCTACTAAGCAATGCCATATAAATCAGGAAAGTATCACGGCAGTAATAATTATCAAATAACTTTTTGTTACTCCCTTAGCAATATGTTTCTGTCAATCAAAGTTAATTCTAAGTCTAACTCTTCGTTGATACAGGACAAACAAGACAGGCAAGAGAGGAGTAGGCGCTGACATGCAAGGTCAGGACTAGTACTATAACCCCATAAAAAGGCAGGTACATGACATGCATTTCCTGAAGGTCAACAAGAGCTGTACTATTCCACGTTGACCTAAAAATTTGAAAAATAATTAAATTCTCTGCTGCCTTTGAGAAGGAAACAGAGTATATTGTACAATAGCTCCATGAGCAAATCCTAAGTACCTCAAACAAATGAAAATCTAATGGACAAAATGTACAAAGATAATGGATGCTTGCTGTCGCTATCAGGTGCATCCGTACAAGGGTGTGGGAGCTTGTGTAGAATATACTGACATGATGAATATGCAAATCTCATTACAATCTTGTTTAAATGTAGCTATAAGTCATCTTTTTCAAGCAAAAGATCACACTTTGTTGTAATTTTCACATACTGGCTCAATCTAACATTAGTTTTGAGTGTTTACACTAAAGTCATTCATGTGTTAACAAGAAAAAAGAATTCAAGTCAGGCTGTCTGAGACCAACCTTCAACGGCCCTCTTGAAGAACACCTTGCAGCTGCCGCAGGTCACGACCCCGTAGTGGCATCCCGAGGCCTCATCTGAACACACCAAACAGATCTTGTGCGTCTGACCGCCGGGCTTTGATTGGCCAGAGGCATTTGAGGTGCTGGTCTCTGCTGCTCTCGATGATGAGCTGGATTGCATACTGAAAGAGATGGAGAAAAAGAGAAGAATATGTAAAGACGAGTGAGCTACATGTAAATGTAGCAACTTTAGGGGTTATTTTAAGGCGGGAGGGAGACCGCAGGTTTATCAGTACAGACGGCCTAGATGGCATTTAATGTTGTTGCTAGGAGACGTGAAAACCCATTGGATGAATCCAGTTCACAAAGGGACGGTTTTTGGACAGAAAACAGACAAAAACGTTGCCTTTTCTTAGTTCCATGTGTCTTATATCTACGGAAAAATTAAATGTATGTGTAATTGGAATAAGTTTGGATCCTGATTCAGATTCTACAGGAGGCTTGAGCAAAAAAGTAACAGTTTCCAAAAACGTTGTACTAAAATGTCTTGAATGGAAAAAGAGAAATATAATATAGATTAGCTATGAAGCGACTTTTTTACAACACAGAACAATGATGGAAAGCTTTAACTTCACTGTAACTGGCAGCCAGGTTGCCCTCAGTTGAAGTCCTCTGACCTAAACTTGATATAACTGATGGCTTGTTCCTTTTGATTTGCTCACTGACCTTTTTTTTTCATCTGTGTTTAATGTGTCAACAAGTTACCCAAACACAATCAAGCCTATCAAAGGAGCGAGCTCTCCTAAGCTCTAAATCTCCCTCCAATCCTCCAATTTTATTACGTTACACATGAAAGCCACGTTTGAACCTCTTCAGAAACTTGCAGGCACACGCATAGAGCTGTCATTATCATCCACTGTCTATAATTACACTTCAAGTTTCCGAGACGCTTGAACGGCAGCGTGAAGCTCAACTAGGCACAGACACCAATTTGTCAGATGTATGGGGGGCAGAGTGCCAGCATGTACACTGAGGGAATGTCAGGTCTAAGAGGCGTGTTTTGGCCAAACAGACTCCAGACTAGTGTTAGACTGACACCGCTGTGTAATCCATGACAGGAATTCTACCGCATTAGAAGAGCTTAAACCTTCTCTCCCTTGTTTGTTTTGGCAGCACACTTGTTGAAATGTATATGGGCATTATGTAACAGCGCTGGCTTGCAAAGCTTGATAATGACTTTACATTCAGGCCAATAGATACCATAGCCCTGGTTCTTCTGGTCCTGCATCATTATTCAAGCTCACACTTGAAGTGTTTAACCACTTTTGTTGCTTTGCTTTAGAACTAAGCAGCCCTGTTTGCAACACAGGAGTGAAGACAGAATACAAATGAATCTTTTAAGTGTCTATCTAACAGCCCATGAGCCACCCCTACTTGTCTCCCCAAACAAGCATGACCTAAACTGGCCGGGCCCTCATGGTCGTTGGAAAGACGACACTTGCTTATACAAGTTGGAGGGAGTCCAAGGGGGAGGTGATGGATCTTTGTAGACAATCCAAAGGAGTTAAGCCGTAGCTTTATGCTGAACCAGAAAAGATCCTTTCCAGTACATGCAAACAGCCTTCATACAGTGAGGAATCTCTAACTTTCGGGCAGTCATCTGTTAAAAAAAAAAACCCAATCACACTGTTGTAAACAGCTAGTTCATGGATGTGTTTAAAATAGGATAAATCAAAATTAAAGACTGCATATTACAGTAGCTTTCACTCTTTTTATGTCTACCTGCTGTTCATCAAGATCTACACAACACCTTAATGCTAAATCTATCCAATAAGCATCGTTTCCACCACTGAAATGGCACCAAATAATCTGAAGGGAACAAATAGGTAGCTTGAGCTTTACGACTGCATCTTAACTGTGTGAAAGCATACCTATTATAACAAAGTTATTGCTGTGTATGCTCATGTTGTATCAACAATAAAATTGAGATTTTGCAGCACTAATGCAAAAGTGAGAAAGAAACACCCAGGTTTGTTCAAACAACATGAATAATTCAACTACAGGCTGCAACAACGAATTGATGAAATCCATAAGAAAGTGTTGGCAACCTATTTGTTTATCGATTGGTTGTGTCACGCGATCATTATTTCACATGCCGTTGGTGCGGAGTTGTTTACATCATACACAGGCATTTGAGCAGAGTGTTGTACAGCACTTAGTCAGCTTAAGCTGTTTTTAAATGTAGCTGCATGAATGAACTTAATTTCAGTTAATACAACGATGGTAACACATTTCTGTTCAACAAAAAAGTATGAGAAGAAATGGTTATCAACATAGTGAAGCCGAGACGTTGGCGAGCTAAAAATAGATCTAATGAAACGTGAGTTTTGTTTACAGTCATGAGAGGAGACAGTATTAAAATGTCAGTGGTGTGCTGTCAGACATTCAAAACCATGATATTTCCCCCACTGAGCATCCGTCAAAATACAAGTAGGAGAGAGGAGGCCTTCATGTGCACTGCAGGCAGAGAGTAAGAGGAGCGACTGTATGTGTGTGTGTGTGTGTATGTGTGTATGAGTTTGTTTATGTGTGCATTAGTGAATAAAAGTAACAGAGTAATGACAAGCCCATGCGACAACGAGCCGTACAGTGCTAATGATAGCCTGGCCAAACAGCGAGTGACTAAAGTTAGAATGGTATCATAATATCAATAACCTTTGAAGGCAAAGGGTTTCCCTTTCTAAAGATGTTTAATGAAGCTATTTGATAGGTTAAAGCTGTAGCTCTTCTGTGTGACAGATAGTCTAAAAAGTAATCTTACCACACTGTGAGAGTACTAGTAAGTTTACTAGTAAGTAAAAGCCCTTCATTCAAAGTGTATCAGTATTGTAACCAGTTTGTCTCAAAGTGTGTGTATGTGAGAGAGAAGTGAGGTAAAGCCCAAATCTTTAACACACGTTGTATTGCTAATATTTGATTAGAGTTCTTTGTGTTAGTCCATGCTCTGAAAAATCGATTTGATGTGGCAAAGCATGTCAACATTAAGTTAGTCATCTAGTTTTTAATCACTGATTTCTTTTTAAATAATTCATATTTCTTTAACAGCTCAGGGACGTTCAATAACAACTGTTTGTTGCCTAACGTCAGTGTCTGTTTTTGAATAAAGGGATGGAGATGAAAAATGTTCTTTCACCTGATTCATCTGGAAAATAATTGTCCAATTAATTAGTTATTAAAATTATTGTTCATTGCGGACCTAAACCCAACCACTCACTGACAGTTTTATGAATAAGGACTATGTATGGCTCATTCTGAGACTTCAAACACCTCCATTTATAACTGCTTTTTACTCAATATTACACTCATCAATCTCAAGACAAAAAACTAATTCAGTAAAATCTTAAATACAAACAGTATATCTGGGTCTATACATCAGTATACACTCAGATGTTGTACACTTGATCCAGCACAAACTGAAATGTCTAGGGTGCATTAAGATTGTTGAACTTGGTTGTCGATAAGTTTTCCAGTATGTATTACAGGATTCCCAATAGTTGTTTGTGCCTTGCATGGCACTGAAATCAAATAAAGCAACTCAACCTTATCCTATGTTACACACTATGGTTAGACTCTCTCTGCAACATTAGCACTCTGGTTGAAACTTCCGAACATGTTCCCCTCTTAACTTCAGACGGTCACTCTAGTAGTAGGGTATTAATAGATAACATGTTGTTGTAATGAGGAGTAGAGTGTGCCGCTTGTGTGCTCATCTTTCTGGAACTCCGAAAATTACTTGTCAACTTCAAGCAGCCATGGATGGATTTGAGCAAAGATGCTGCGAACACTAATTACAGAGCAATGCTTGACCTGCGATGGCTCCCTTGGGATTGCTCAGCAACCAGAAAAAAAAGACAGACTGCCAGCAGGCAGAAGATCACATGACACAAAGCAACCAAGTGAAACAAGTGTAGGTATTTACACAGTGCATGCTTTAAAAATGTGACACTTTTTTTTAGATTGAAAGCATTCTATTTTTTGTCTCAAATCTTTTTACTCTTTCTTCTTAGTCCAGATTATTTTAAATTATAATTGAACATGGCTGCTCAGACAAAACAACCACAGGGTGGTGTTTGAATTAAACATTTATAACCCCCTTACTTCTGCTTCAACTCCCATGCTCCTCCCATCGCTGAGCCAACAAGAGTGGCACTGAGCCATGCAGCGCAGATTCAAGCCTCATTAGGAACGCCTACATACTGAACCGGAGAGCAATAAGCATGTGCACTTACTCAGTCCCCCTCTCTATCAAACACACACACAAGCATACACAGAAATAACAACTTTTGAATCCTAAAAGACAAGAGCATGAAAAGATAAAATGCACAAGAAAAGAATCCAAATCTAAACTTGCAGAAAATTAAGGTTTAATAATCAACAAATACTCCCGCAGACATAACCAATACTTTCAGGGGCAGCTTGAGCAGAACACTAACACACAAACACGCACGCATACGGCTTACATTTTGCTGCTCTTTCTCCTCCCACACAAAGCGTGTGCACACATTCATTTGTGTCCCTCTTACTGAACAGAATTGTTTGATGTTTAAATAAGTTAAATGTAACGAGGATGCACACAGGACAGAGAGCGTTAACATCTAGAGACATCTGACAAATCATTTCCTTTATTTTTTTTCTCAATCTACCTAATGATCGCTCTTTCTGAGTGTCATCTCATGCTAACATGTGTCATTATTGAGCTGTCGTAGAGTGGAGAATTATTGAAGGGCCCTGGATACAAAAACAAAACAAAAAAAGAAGAGAGACAATGAATTAAAAGCAATCCTGCAGAAACAGGAGGCAGGTGACTGCTGGGTTGTATTAGGAATGCACAATCCCATCTATCTCTTCATATTACGCTTGAGGCACTGTTCATTTTAAGGTGTTGATTTAAGTCACTAGAACACGCTGACTTATTCATGTAATCTACATGGGCTTAGAATCAAAGCAGAGAAGCTATACTAATCATAAATGGGCTATATACATTTTCCAAACACCATAACGTCATGAGGTGGTGGAAAAAATGGATCAGCGCATGATGACAGTCCCCAACAAACACGGCGCCTGTAGCAACGATGGAGGGAGAACTGAACTGGGCTGACCTGCTGTGTCACTGGGGAATCAT